GGCGGGCCGAAGAAGTCGACACCAGCCGGGACAGGATATGGAGTGTTGGTGGGGACATTCCAGTACAGCCCTTAGGGTCTCGCGTTTGCCAGGTGGACGAACGGCACAAAGAAGATGAACTGACCGTTGTGGGTATGGCCTGAAAATGGAGGGATTGAGAGGAGAAAAGAGGGGAGGGAATTCTATCGTTAGCTTTTTAGACCCTAACGCTTTCTCTATTTTGCATCCATCGCTTTCCGGGGGGCAGGTACCAAGGAGATTTCCATCCAGATCCCGACCCCAGATTACTCATCGGGTTTATGGTTTTATTGCCTCCCGATTTCACCCCCAAAATGGACAGAAATTAAGCGTATCCAGAGATCAGAGAACGGAACTGAGAGACAAAAGAGAGAGAGAGAGAGAGAGAGAGGCTAACCAGATAGCCGGCGTCAGCAGCTCCATTTGTCGCCGGGTCCGACAACACGTATCGGGCCGCGTTTGGCTGATGGGCAAGCAAAACGACGAGATCAGTTTCTCGCAGCCCGTCAGCGCTTTTTCTAGGGGTTCATCTGGTAATAGCCTTACATACTGAAAATTTTTTTGAAAGAGCCATCGAGCCATTTTTCTATGGATTAGCTAAGGGAATCAATAAATAATATAAATGAAGATAATTTAGTCAACGTTTTAATTTTTAGCATTAAAAGTAGTAAGGGTGGGGCTGCACTGTAGCTTCAACGTGTTAGATCATCAATAAATAGCTCGCACACTGATTCACCCTTCCCAGTCGTCAATCGGAAGTTCTCGTTGTGCAGCACCTTGATGTTGCAGCCGCGCAGGAACGTGAACCACTCCTCGACGTTGCCGTGGTAGTACTCGTGGTTTCCTAAAAATGAGCTAACTTTTACCTTTTAAGCTTTTTCTATTAGTTTTTCAGTATAATGTTTTTCATAAATTTTCCAGCTGAAGTATATTTTTCAATTGGTTATTTTCCCCTCTTCTCCTAATTTTTACACACGCTGCTTGGGGTTTGTGTGATTTTAAAAGTATCTATAAGCCTGTTTTCCTATCATTTGCCAAAAAGGCACTCCGAACCACTATTGTTTGATTGACACTTCACACCTGGGCGGGGAACGGCCGCCCACTCCCTTATCTAGGTCCCTGCGCTTCCACTCTTCGCCGCCCGGTTAGCTCCACAAGGAGACGTTTTTGAGTGTCGTCGGGAACTTTGGCACAGGGACCAAGCTACTCTTGTGCAGAATATTACGCTGATTCCGACATATTCTTCTTGGTAACCGTTTTTGAGGAATAGCACCTTTCTCGAAAGTTATTCACGAACGATTTAAACCTCAAAACTGCCCAAAATCGGCTACTTTCGATAGTCATAAAAGAAAAGCTTCGGAATAGGTTTGAGACAAAAGATAGTGATGCATCTTGTTCAGAAAAAAAAATTCTCTATAAAATAAGCTACTTATCTCAAAAATGCTGAAATTTTGAAAATTTTTGTAAAATTATGGGCCGCCATTTATCAAATTTTTCCAATTTTTCAATGATTTTGGAAAAGATGGTACATTTTATAGATAATTTTTTTCTGAACAAGCCGCATCAACAAGTTTTGTCTAAAACCTATTTTGAAGCCTTTTATGACTATCGAAAGTAGCCGATTTTGGGCTGTTTTGAGGTTTAAATCGTTCATAACTTTCGAGAAATGGCTATTCCGCAAAAACGGTTACCATATTCGGAATCAGCGTCAAATTCTGCACAAGATAGACTTGGTCCCGTGCCAAAGTCCCGACGACACTCAAAAACGTCTCCTTGTCAGTCGGTAGAGCACCAGACTCTTAATCTGGTTGTCGCGGGTTCGAGCCCCGCATTGGGCTTACTTTTTGCTTTTTGCCCATGGAGTCGGGACGTGACCGCTTTTCGGAAGTAAAGCCTTGGAATTTCATTTTTAATGCGTTTTAATAGGTATGATCGTCCCACTTTTTTAAATCCGTCTGTCATAAACTTTTTTTAACAGGAATGAACAATAATGGCATTTTCTCCAACTGACCGGTCGCAAAGTACACGCCATATTTCGACCGGAGCTCGCACAGTGGCTTGGCCGCCTCGCCCAAATCCTTGACGTATCCATCAGCCAGGTCACCACTGATGGCGATGATATCTGAAAATATAAATCGAAATAGAAAATTCTGACTGAATTAAAGCTTTGATTTTGTTGTTACTATCTTTTTGCGTTTTGTGCTTTTCCGTACCCGGATTAATGCTGTTGACCACGTCGACGATGGTTTGCACTCGCTTTCGGCCGACGCTTGGGCCGATATGCAAATCGCTGAGGAGGGCGATTTGGAGTTCGGAGCCGGGCTTGAATTTCTGAAAAATGACTATTTTTTGCGTTTTTCGAGGGGCAAGTTTAACGGCGAGTTCAAGTTCAAGTTCGAGTTTAAGTTCGAGAGAAAAAGAGAGAGAGAGAGCGCGAGAGGGAGACGTTACTCACCGTAGTCTTGAACGTCTCGTCAACGACCGAGGGCGGTGTAAAAGTACGATACAACCCGACGCTGATCAACGACACGGCCACGATGGTCACCAGCAGCACTTGTGAGAGTCGGTACTTCTCGCAAAAGCTGAAATTCATCAAATTCAAGCGGAAACTTATTTTTTGAAAAGACGGGCCAGTCACGTACCTCGACATTCCGCCCTCTTCCTCAATTTTGCCCGTGACCTTGGCAAAGAAGTAGGAGATGAAGAGCACGAGATCGGAGAAGAGGAGCAGAATGAAGAGGTGCAGGTAACCGGCCAAGCAGATGAGGCACAGCAGGGCGGCGGTGGACACTTCGGTTTGGCCTCGGACCTGAAAAATAAAGTTTTAAGGAATTTTCCTGAACTGCTTGGACTCGTTTCTCTCTCCCTCTCTCCTCTTTGTCACGTACCATGTAAAACGCAAAAGCTGACTGTCCGCAGGCCAAGAAGATCAACAAGGCGCCCCTGGAAGAATAACTTTTTCAGTATGGGAAAAAATTCGATTACTTCAACACGTCGGCCGGGCAGATTTGGGTCCATCTCCGGTTTAGTGGTCGGTGGTGGCCTTCGTTGTAGGATCTGCAAAAAAAATGACATTTCATCGTTTTCTAGGAAATTACGTTAATTTAGCATAATTCAATGGAACTTTATTTAGAAGTGACCACGAAATGACTAAATTTCATGCCGTAATCAGATACCTAAGGCTTAAAAGATTTCATTAATGCCTCATTGGTCATATCCTTGAGAAATTTTATATGAAAACTCACACAATGGCCGCCTTGTAGCGCTGGTAGATGTAGTACGAGCCGACGCACATGATCAGCTCGAGGTTGAAGAGGGTGTGCACCCGCGAGGCCATCGCGTGCGCATGACCGGTGATCTGGAAACGATTGATTGGGTTACTTACTATTTACAGGCAGCCCCTTTTTGGTATTTTCAGACGAATTAAGGTTGTTTTTCGCTAGCAGCACATGTTTATCTGCTTACAAAATCAGCGCATTAAGAGCTCAAGGAAAACAAATGTTTTTCACGTGTTTGACGGGTCACTGTTTCCCTTTTCCACGTGTACTTTGCTCCTAAAACACTTTTTTGAGTTAGTGAGGCCTAAAAAGTGCCTAAAAGTTAAATTAGAAGATTTTCACAAATTTTTGTTTAGATTTAACAAGATCATAACCATGAACTAACCTTATTCCTCCAGATGATAAATCCCAGCTCGCAGATGGCCACGACGACCCCGACGACGATCGCCCATTTCGGGACGGCGCGCAACATCTCCTTGGCCCGGTCACTGAAAATCTTTATTTTATGACCATTCTGTCATGAAAAAATTGTTCCGTGTTAATAAGCCAAAGTAAATTACTTAGATTTCATCTTTTTAGAGAAGAAGGAATTGAGTGCCCCAGAAATTCGGGGAGGAACCGCAAAAAAAGCGTTCGACCGGCCGCAATAAGCAAAGAAAGTGAGATGGCGATAAGAAAAAACGTCTCAAGCCGGTTGGGATGACTAATCACCTCGCAGGGCAGAACAGACTAACGGCTTTGAACCTGATCCATGGCCACGAATTCTCGATAAGCGTACCACTACAAATGACAGAAACCTATCACAACCTTACAAAGCACGACGATTTTCCTAGGTCCTAAGGAGCTTTTCGGAAAGTAAAATTAACAACTACCACATGCCATTTAAAAGTGCCCATATGCAAGCGAGAATCAGAATCTTTTATGTCTTGAGAGAACAAAATCAAAACCTTGCCAAAAGCATGATTTGAAGACCCAAAGCAAGCTTTTAGAGCTTAAAACAACAACGACAAAGTCAGTAATCACAGCTCTGATTCAGAATCATGAAATCCCCTGACTTCCTGGTTGCAAAACGCAAAACATAACCATCTCGGCTCGAAATCCCTCCTCAAAATCGAAAAACCAAAGTTTTGAGAGCTTTTCAGAACTTTAAAACGACAACGATGAAAATAGACGCCAAGCTATCATTCTCAGTCACGCAATCCCAAACCTTCTGCTAGCAGCTGCCTGAATCGACGTCATCGGCGGCTCCTCCTCGCTGCTCATTCGGTCAACAACGGCCAGCAGCGGGCATTGTGAGGCGGGGGTTGGTAGGGCCAGGTTGCTCTCTACGGGATTGCACAGACTAACGCCCAGAGTCCTGGGCCACAAACCACAAACACAACCACGACGACGTCGACGAGAATCGGCACTAGCCGAAAGTGAGGGGAATATACTACGAGAGCGGGCGTGAGAGTGGGAGAAAGGAAGAGACGCAGAGAAAAATGGGAGTGGCGATGGGGAACTTTTGGTTTCTCTGCCCTTCTCAACTGGTGGAAGGGAGAGAGTGAGAGAGCGGGGATAGAGGAGAGGGAGAGGGAAGAGCGAGAGAGCGCGGAAAAAGAATAGGGGCACAGAAATAAGAGCGAGAGAGCGCGGAAAAAGAATAGGGGCACAGAAATAAGAGCGAGAGAGCGCGGAAAAAGAATGGGGGCAGAGAAATAAGAGCGAGAGAGCGCTAGAAACGAGTAAGAATGTTTTGATGCTCAAGGAGAGGAGAGAGACAGAGAGAGAGAGAGAGAGAGAGAGAGAGAGAGAGCGAGAGAGAGAGAGAGAGAGAGAGTCAGAAAGAGCGTGAAGACCATGAGCGCCCAAACCCAAGCGTTCTCCTAGAAATTGAGAAAACCTTGGTAAAACAGAGATCATCGCGAACGTCGAGTAATTATTGGGAAATTTTGGCTGACCTACGACTAATAGGTGGTTGCGAAAAATCCACTCGATTATTGATGATGAAAAGATTGGGAAATTCATGCTGGCAATCTGCTTTGCTACATGCCAAAAAGTAAAAAATCCACCTGGATTTTTTACACAGCTTTTTTTGGCTGCTGCAGGCATATTTTTATGATCAAAGCATTGAAATTCATGATGAAATCTGGAATCTTTTTTGCAGGGATTTGTCACTTAACTTCCATTTTTCGGCAGTTGTAAATCACCTCCAGATTCAAGAGACAACTTTGCAATATTCATTTCTGTCTGCCGCAAAATCACAACTCACAGTGTTAGCGGACACAGCGTTAGGCAGGGCTGGAGATTGAAGTCAGGATTAATTTTGAGCCTGCGTAAAATTTCAAATTTCAATTTCAAAAAGTTTCAAATGATGGATTCAAATGGCAGACCGAGGTTAGGAAAATAAAACTCATATCGAGCAAGATGACTTCTGGCGATTTCTCGCAACGGAATGCACCCGGCTTTGGGAGTATTGTGTGCTTATCGCCGCCTCTTTTCGGCGTTGTCTGTGAGCCAAAAAGTTCTGGTTTGGGCTCGAGAAATGATGAGAATTTCTCGATTGTCTATTCGGGTAATTTTTGTAAGAGTAGAATGTAAATGGCCCTGCAACGCAATAGTCGATTCCAGCAGGACTGCGATTATCAAAAATCTTATTTAACAACTTTTTTTAACAAAAGTGCATCTCGCAAGCGTTTGCGGGGTCCCAGCTGGTCAAGACATCGTGGCATATCTCCTTGGCCGCCTGGAACTAATGGTTTATAGCTTTTTTAACTGAACCCCAGATAAACAACTGAGGCCGTTATCAACCTAACTTATCTCGGCTACCCTTTATAACACCAGGCGGTAAGATATACCAAAATACTCACCAGACCATGGTGAGCATTTTGATCTCCTTCGCACCCTGTATCATAGAGGGCAGGCGAGATGCTAAGGTTGGGCGGGGTTTGGGGGTCACCTGGGTCTTGCCTTATTTTTAATCCCTTAGGTATTTAATTTTTCTCGTGTTGATTTACCTGGTTGAATTTCATATGGCAATAGTCGTTCCTAAAGATGTCATTACACGCGTCCGGTATGCCATGTTTGAAAATTTCCAGGCAATCTGTTGTAGTAGTCGCGTTCTTTTCAATTATCTCCTGAAAGTTAGTCATGTCAGCAGCAACTTCATGGTTATTTTTGAAAATGGTCAAAACGGTGTTGCATCTGTTTTAAAGGTGGTGTTGAATTTTCTGAGTCCGCTCGTTCGCAACAAAATGACATGAATAAATTCCAATTTTCGACTCAAAGTACCAAATGACTAATTGTGACTAGTTTTCTGTATTTTAGTGTTTTGAAACAACATTTACTTTATTCGTTATTTACCATAATTACTTTATTTCAAAGATGATTGTGACAGAGTCACATCGCTTGCTCATGTCTTTTTCAGCAAAACGGCCGTCCCTCGCAGGCATCGTTGGCGCTGCTGCCCTTCAAAATGTCGGCACAGACGTCGGTGTCGACCTAGAAAAACGATTGAAAATTCTTTTTTATCCTTTAAACAGATTTGGGTATTTTTAAAAGACCCAAAAAGCGTTATTAATGCAAAACCATACCGCTGCTAGCGCCTTTATGCACGGGTAGCTCCAGAACCAATTCTCGCAAGCCTTCTTCGTGCCGTCGTTGTAGAATTTCAGGCATTCACTTTGATTAGTCGGATGCTGATCAATAACTATCTATAATTTCGATTTTTCGCTCAAAAAAGGGAAAAAGAGCTTGTAAAACAGCATAAACTGGTATTGATTTTAATCTTGCAAACCTGCGCCAACGTTTTGCACTCCTTGCAGACGACGGCCAAGGAGACGGCAATGAAAGCGAAGAACACGAGAACGAGTTTCATTCTTTAGATTGGGAATCGAGCGAAACTTCGAAATAGTCAATTTTCACAGGCACATAGGGTGGTTTTGTTGATTCAACACCCCCGCCATAACATGATCCTCCTCCCGCGTCTGAATTTCAATTGGCAATATGTATGATGATCGGAAGGAGGTGCGTCAATTTCGGAAAGGTATATCAAGTTAACTCATCGCCAAAGAATTCCGATGCGTCAGTGTGCCAGATATAAACGAGCAGACGTTTATTAAAATTACACAAGAACGTCGTCGCCGCGTGCTTTATTTAGGGCTCGTCAAGTTCAGCAGAAGAGGTTGCCCTCGCAGGACTCGTGGGCCGTCTTGTTGCGCATAATGTCGGTGCAGACGATGTTGTCAACCTGAATTTGTGAGGTCACCAGAGCCCCAGTCATTCTGATTTTTGAATGGAAGTCAGTTTATAATTAGTGAGGTCGATTCTCTCTCTCTCTCTCTCTCTCTCTCTCTCTCTCTCATTCTCTCTCCCTCTCTCTCTCTCTCCCTCTCTCTCTTGCTCTCTTTCTCTCTCTCTCTCTCTCTTTTCCCTCTCGCTCTCTTTTTCGCTATCTCTCTATCCCTCGCAGCTACGAAAAAGACTAACCGCCTTGAGAGCCTGGATGCACGGGAAGCTCCAAGTCCAGTCGCAAACGGCCGTGGTACCGTCGTTAAACCAATCACGGCATTCTCCGTGGCTAGCTGGGTGCCGGTCGATGATTTTCTATAAACGTATGCCTAGAATGCCTATCAGAATCTCGAAATCAGAATCTTGAATTTTCAGAGTCTCGAATTTTCAGAATCTCGTTTCATTTATGCCTATGCTGCATTCAGGGGGTAGGGGTGCAATTTCCGGAACCTTTAATGCTGATTTAAACCATGGAAACTTCGAGATTCTAAAAATCCGAGATACTGAAAATTCGAGATTCTGAAAATTCGACATTAACGTATTGACGTCCAAGCGGGGGCACCGTTTTTACGACCGTAGATGCTCCTACCTGTGCCAGCTTCTTGCATTCCGAACAAACAATTACAGCCGTGGCCACCGAGGTCAGAGCGAGAAGCAGAAGAACGAGTTTCATTTTTGCGAATGTGATCGCGATGTGATGAGCCTATCGTCGAGGGGTTTATATTGGCACCTCGGAATTCGGGCGTCCGACCGCCGCCATAACAAATGACCGAAGGGCAGAAGTGGGGCTCATGAAGTTTCGACATTCCAAATTACTGTGGTGACGAAAGTAGGGGAATTTAGCGATTCTGCAGCGATTGCCGCCGTTTTTTTTGTCTCACACATTTTTTTTGACATTTGTAAGCTTTTTTCAAATTTACATAGCTATGTGATCGGCAGTGCCCCAAGATATTACGTCTTCGCCAGCTCAGCCAGTCAAATTCTAGCAACCGCAGCTAAACATAAACGATTGGCACATCTAACCATCGCCATTGTTCGTATGAATCTAACCAAAAAAATGTAAATAATTTCATGAGAACCAAAATCAAGGATAGAATCAACAAATATGCTCGAGGGGGAATTTCATACGAATTCAAGGACTCTGATTCAACGAAAAACTCAACAATGGCTTTCACCGGGCGACACGACAAATTTTCCAACTTGATTTGTTTTGATTTTTAGGCACTTTAATGGCTTTTCAGATTTTAAAAAACGGGAGGAAGCAAGAAATAAAATGTTTATTTTTGCTTTTCAGGTAGTTATGAATGTCCATAGCTTCCAAAAAAACTGGATGAAGGGAGCATTATTTGCAATTTTCGAGAATAAACATTATCAATTCTATTCAAATCATAATCTAATTATGAGGAATTTCAAGGGCCCTAAAATAGTGCCTAAAACTAACCAACATCCTGGCGCCACCCGTCGGGCGAGGCTGGAAAGGGCGCCCTGTCCCCTTCCTCCCCTTGCTAGTGTGGCCTATTGGCTCGGTCATGGGGCTGCCGCGCGCAGGACCCGGGTTCGACCCCCGCCCGCGCCACTGAACGATGATGATAAACACACAGACCTGTTCTGCAAACTTTATGATGATAAAATGAGCAGATATCCGAGTTCACTTTTGCAAAAATAGCATTGGGATATGGTTTTGAGGGACTGGACCTTTTTTCTTTAGCGAGTTCTCATTTTTCACCTTGCCTCACCCACCGATTAAATTTAATGCCGACAGAACTTTCCTCGGTTTCCAAACTATTAGTGTTAAATTTTTTTGATTTTCCGCATTTTTTAAGGATAAAAATACCACGGTTCTTTTTTCTAATCAACAAAATACGGATTTTCTTCACGAAAAATGATCGGTTTTTACCAAAATTGCAAAATTTCAAAACCTTTTACCGTTATTTAAACCTCGAATTACGTTAGTACAACCAAACCGTTTAAAATTTTTCTACAAAATTCAAAATATATCCACGACGTAGCACACAAAAGAATTTATTCAGAGACAACAAATGACAACGAAAGCAGTGTCCATCCCTGAATAGATGTCATTTTTGATGTTTATTCTCTGCATGTTGCGCTCGATTCTGTGGATGCTCTGGCTCGTCTAGGCCGTCGGGTTGAGCGTGTAGAGGAGAGAGAGGATGAGCACGACGACGTGGCTGGAATTTGGAAAGTTTGGGATTTGGGAATAGAGCTTCTACCTGAATGGAAAGACCGCCGAAGAATCGTTGCCACCTGGAAATCGGGGAAATTATTTCGAAAACCGAGCGTTCGAAAAAGCTAATTTTAAGGACAAAACTTCGAAAAGTGAGAACTTCGTATTCGGAAAAATGGCAAGAAAGCGTAAATTGCGTTTCAAAAAACAGAGCGCATTTTTACAAGCGTCCCTTCACGCCGCCATTACTTAAAAAATCATGGCTTTGAACAGTCAAAACTTGGAAATCCATTAGTGCAAAAATCCTTACTTGAAAAAAATTACCAAAATCGAACAATTATTGCCTCGAAATACCATCTCCAAATTTCATTTTAATTGGGCAATTTTATTCTGTATTCTGCTAAGCCTGGTAAAAAAACTGTAAAAATTAAGACTTTTCGAGATTAATACCGACAATCAACCCGACTTACCCAGTGCAACGCAGAGGACGTCGGTGTCGCTGATGAGCGGGTCCCGTCCGGTGGCGTAGGCGAATTCGTCGGCGGAACGACATCCGGGTGGGGCGTCAGGAAAGCCCTGGATGCGGTGGCAGGTCAACTCTCCCAGCGAGGGGCACCCTAAAATGTGGGGTAGACCAAGGGGTTGGAGTTCTGAAGTTGCCACTAGCACTCACTCCCTCACTCACACTCGCTATCTCTCTCTACCTCTATCTCTCTCAGACACCCTATCTCTCTCTCCTACTTTCACTCTCACTTTTACTCTCTCTCTCTCTCTCTATCTCTCTCTCTCTCCCGCTTCAAAACCACCTACTTCGACGGCAAATCCTCGGCCTCAGCTGGTCGAGGTCGGTGGTGGGCAGCTGCATGAACTCCCAGGCCGCGTAGCAACCCTCGTGGCGTTTCTCCGGACCGGTGACGTTACCTCCGGCCTCCTCATTCGACAGGGATTTTCCTGCAATAACAGTCCATTATTCAGAAAGATGCAAAAACCAGCTTTACCATTGGCATCCTTGGGTGTGTTGGGCACGGGGGTAGATTCGGCCATCAGCTTCAGCTTGTCTAAACGAATAAAATTTTGCAAAAAAACCCCGGAAAAATGACCTGCCAGCCAGGGTTCCTCGATGAACTCGTGGCAGGGGACGGTGTTGGGCTCGCAATCTGGAAACAACTAGATTTACAAAAACGCTGGCTTAGGTTTTGATGAAACTTAGGCTTAAGCTGCGGCTTAAGCTTAGGCTTAGGCTTAGTCCTAGGCTTAGGCCTACGTTTAGACTTGGGCTTAGGATTGGGCTTAAATTAAGCTTTGGGGTAGGCTTATGCAGAGTCTTAGGCTTAGGCTCATTGTTAGGCTTAGCCGCAGGTTCAGGCGAAGCTTGAGCTTGGGCTTAGGGTAGGTTTAGGCTTAGGTTCAAGCTCCGGGTGGGCACAGAGGTAGGCTAAGACTGAGGCTTAGGCTTAGTCCTCGGCTTAGACTTAGGCTTCGGATTAGTCCTGCGCGTAACCTAACCATGACTTATATGCTTCACGGCACTTACAGAGACAGAAATTCTCTTCATCCCTGCTTGTGAGGTATTTGTCGATCTCGATTGAGCGGTTCGGGAAGAAGCGACGCCAATCGTCGTCTCCGGTCAGTGGGTAGTGGCGGTCTTTTTGCGCAAGCGGGATGCATGCTTTCGGGTCCCGATGGATGTCCCTGCCTGGCGGGCACCGTTTGTATCGCCGGTACCTTCGAGGCGCGAATTGGCAGTAGTCGGTCGGTTCTGAAACAAGGAGTTGGTTCGTTCAGGAATAAAATATCAGGTTGGTAGATAAATCTAGTCACAAATTTTTGAAATCGTTCCATAGAGCCCCAGACACGGACGATTTTAACATCCTACCTTATATAACTTTGGGGTGTATCTCTGCGTGTGTGTGTGAATGTCACTTTAAGGGCCTTACCCTGGATAAAATGCGCTAATTCTTAGTCACTAGGGGGAATCGACCCACCTCGTTCCGATGGTGTTTTCATGTTCATGGTGTATCGGTGGGGGGGTCCGAAGGACCCAAGCTATCGGAAAGTCAATTTCTCATGCAAGGGCCGCATTCCAGCGCCCAAGGCCCGCCAAGCGGATTTTGGGCGCTGGTTTGATACATGATTTGATAGGCCTTGGGACGCTCTATTGCGGCATGACCCTCATAGGATCCCCAAGTTATGAATTATCATTTCGGAGAAAAGTTGCATTTAATAGCATTCGAGCATTCGGCTTGCTCTGGCGAGCATTTTGGTATGTTTTACACATCTGTATTCAAACAGGAAGCCGAGATACAAAAGTTGGCGCGGGCTGGGGATTATCTAGCGTTCAGCCAATTTAAGAAAACTATGCCCGCTTGTTTTCTCGTCTTTTCAAGGGTTTTCGAATAGTGTAGGAACCATCTCGATCCGAGCTTCCTCCGGACCGCTCGAGAGGGGTGCTTTTTTGACACCCTGTAGATATCCATAGGTGTTGAGATCATCAAAATCGGCGAGCGAAAGAAGGGGGGCAAAAAAAGCCCACAGTTTGGGTCGAAATATCTCGCGAACGGTAGAGAATCGAAGGTACGTTACCATGCCAGAATGCTTAAATATGCTGGGCATGAAGATTTAACACAACTTGATTTTTTCGATTTTTGAGTACGAAACTGTACTATTGACGCTGGTACGACCGAAAATGGCGTTCTTGAACGAGAGGTGGGAAAATTCTGATTTTTGGCCTAAAAATATTATAAATTTGTAGAAAGGTCATAGCAAAGTCTTAGAATTTATCGAGGTCAATTTCATTTTTTACAAACAAAACAATTTTCGTGATTTTGCGTTATTTTCTTCTTTAAGTGATAACCGTTAACCACTGCCATGGCTGCTTTTTGCCAATGGCTTATCCAAATATTAATCTCGGATTCCACACCAAACCCACCACAACTAGGTATTTATTGCTTGTAAAACGTGCCCCAGGGGGTACTGTAGGTTCGTTTTCCCCGCTTTTCTCGGGGCCCTAGCTCGACGGCTGAGATTTTCTGGGTTGTTAGGCAATAGGTAGTGGCACCTTGCTGCCAAATCCGAGAACGTACTATCCACAAACTTTCATGAAAAAGACTAAAAACTGATTTTTTGATTCTGCGGCAGAATTTTGTAAATTTTTTGGTCAATTGGTCCAAAAACTGCTACTGTTGGTTTTCCGAAAAGATCGAAGCGATTCCATGGCAAAAACACCACGAAAACGCAAATTTCGGTTTCTACAGTAACCCCCGTGGAGCGCGTTTAGCATGCCATCACAAAATTCCAAAAGTGATGATTTTTCTATTCCAGGGCCTCTAGAGTTGATGTAAGATAACCCGTTAAAAATTACTGATTTTGGGTGGTAAATAACAAAGTTACGAGCAAGGCAAAACAAGGCCAGAGAGCCGATTTTTGGTCCGAGAGCCGGGTCAATTTTCGAAATTAAAAATAAAAACCACCTGCATCTTATGGATACGATTATAGCTTTGATGTTATTATCTACGCCCGTAAAATTTGGGGGCAATATGATTCATGATCATGGTGACTTCCAGCTCAAAATCGAAGATCACCCTATTTCAAAATCGAAGTTTAAAATTCTTTTAAAAAATTTTTCAACTGAAAATTGTCTTGGTCTTTGCATAGTTTTATTCAACTGATAGCAAGACATTGCTCAAAATATCCCTACGACTCCACCTTCCAAAATTTTTTGACGCAGCCTCCAATTCGGTTTATTTCGGGTTTTGATGAATTTTCCTGGCGCCAACCGCTGGTTAAAAAAATTCATGAATAAGGCTTTAGGATGTGCTATTCAACTGGTATCCGATAAAAATTAATACGATAATTTTCATAGCGCGACTAAATTTTATAAAATGGTGACAAGATTCGGAAAAAAACGCGAAAAATTTTGTAGATGATAGATAAACCCCAGTATTACATAGCTATGCAAAGAAAACAGCTGAGTCCCCTTTGGCGATCTAAAAATATTTTTCCAAAGGTGGGTTTCGAGGCCTCGAAAAATCCATGACCAGGGGGTCGTTGAAAAACTCGAAAATTCATCGATCTCAAAAATTTTTTTAAGATTTTTATGCGATTGTAACGGGCTCGTAGATATTCCACAACGACTGATTTTGAGGTTTTCGCCATAGGTTTTTTTAATATAAAAAATTTACGAAATTTCTCCATACAGAATTTCATTCCTCTCTAACTTTTCAACCAGACCCTCAAAAATTCTTAAATTTTGTAGGTGCCTATCTACTACCGACATTTACTCAAATAGGAAAAATTAGAACCCAGCCACCACAGGAAACCAAGAAAAATGCAAATGAAGTTTTGCGGAACGCACATTTTTCGGGAGTCATTTGTATTGATACGTCGCCAAAAATCGAAAAAATCAAGTTGTGTTAAATCTTCATGCCCAGCATATTTAAGTATTCTGGCATGGTAACGTACCTTCGATTCTCTACCGTTCGCGAGATATTTCGACCCAAACTGTGGGCTTTTTTTTTTGCCCACCCTGTATGGGATCTCAACATCCCGGCCAATTAACTCCAAAAATGGGCTCATGTAGGCAAATGCTACTCGGACGCCTACCGTATACAGTGATGGTGACGCGGTTGGAGAGGGCGGACCAGGTTTTGAGCACGCGCCGTTTCCCGTCGGTATCTTCCAGCTCGACCCACGTCTCCCAACGGCACGTGAACGACGTCGAGTCACGCTGCAGAAGGGGAAACGTCGCTTTTATAAGTAAAAAAAAAAGGTAGACTACAAAGCCGTTTCAGAAAGCGACTGAAAAATCCATAAGGTTCTTTACGCATTATCGAACAGGGGGAGGGGGAGAAATTTTTTGTATTAATTCAGAAAACCTATACCTAGCAGCTTAATAAAAAATTTTTCATAAGGTTTTTAGTAAAATAACAGCATGTTTTAACTAGAACACTATCAAACGCTTCAAAAAGGTCGAAATTTCGGTGAAAAACGGCCATTTTTGACAAAAAACCGATTTTTTTTGTATTGGTAAACTATTGTATTGTTGGTAAACTTTTTAAGTTTAAAGGTAGTAAAAAACGGTTTATCAACACTTCCGCTGCAAATATCAAAACTTATAGTTCCTAAGAACTATTAGAAGAAAATTTCTCCCCTCCCGATAAGGCGAAAAACCATTCAAAAGAACCACTTTTTTGTTTGTTTTTTTGGTATGCCCTTTATATCGAAAAACTGTGCAAAATGGTATAATTCGTTAAAATTTGGGTGTAAAATTAGTTCCTCCCGCCAACCGTCCTGTGCCGAAGAGCGACCAACCACTCTCAAGGCGCTGAACGACAGCTGAATCAGTTCGTTGGGGTCGAAGTTGACCCGATCGGTGGTGAGCGGCCTCCCGTCGGTACCCTAAACAACGAAAATCAGGTGAAGCCCATGAAGTCTCTACCAGGTATTCCGTTCTGACGCCGTCCCGGAAAAACACCGGGCGCACCAGGTCGCTGGCTGTGGTTCCGGGCAGCTGACAACTGAAAACGCGCGGTACACAGAGGGTCACGGTTAATTCGCCGTTATATATTATTGATTATAGAGCGTCTAAATCACTTTACAAGCGTTTAATGGTAGATTTGGGGCATATTTATATTTAGATTTTCTGACTGAAGGATAAAGGTTTTGGCTAAAGTCTAGTTTACCCCCAGCCCTAACTTTTCAGCCATGCGTCCTATTAATGCGCCGAGTATATCAAAATGTTGGCCGTGGTCGAATTACTATAGCCAAGTTGTTTTCTTACATCAATAACTGTTAGTAAAATTTTTTACAAGATTTTGAAAGTTGAAAAGATTAAGCCGCTATGCTTCGCTGTACCAGAAGCCTAAAACTCAAATATTTTTATTTCCGCTATTTTTTCGACTCAAATGCACTGTAGGCTGGTTCTCCAGAGTAGGAGCTACATTTTGGTGCTATTGACAGCTCTGTTCGGGAAAGATAACCGAGATATGAAAACTCACTCTGGAACAGCAAAAATTAACTAAAGAAAACCCAGACTTATAATTGTTATAACAATTTTTCTAAAAAATTGTGATGTAAAGAAACAACTTGGCTATAGTAATTCGACCACGGCGAAAATTTTAAGATACTCGTCGCAACAGGCCACATGGCTGAAAAGTTACCGCTGGGGGGGTTAACTAGACTCTTACCAAAGTTGTTAACATTTTTGGTTATCGGAAACTACTAAAAACGTTATTAAAATAAACTACAATTAATCACTAGGCAAGCATAGGCTAAACAAAAAAATTGCAATCGCCCCCCGTTAACCTGGAAGCACCCAAAAATGTAAAGTTGACTTGTTTTGTTATTAAGTAAAGAAAAATCGATCAACATCAAAGATTCTAAAATCGATTAATATAAATGGTTTATATTTTTTTATAAGACCTTACAGTATCACCGGAAAAATGATAGTCCAGAATCCACTTACCTAATAAAGAGCGGTTGGCCGGCAATGTAAAGACCGTCGCCGTCCGCCAGTTTTGATTCGGTGCTCCCGTATGAAAAGATTCCTCCCTTGTGATTCCGCATGTCGAGCAACGCTGAAATTTGGCGTGACGCGATAAGTGTATCCAGGTTGTCCCAAAAATCGACTTTTTCTTTTCTTTTTGCCAAAAAATAAATTCTCAAATTTTGCTTACATTTGCTAAGTTTTTTGGGCAAAGACCAAAATTGATTATTGATTTTCCCCATACAAAGGTCTTTTTGCAAAACTGAATTGTTCAGATTTTACGCCTTTACCGGCAGCCCGAGAGCAGCTTTTTGAAATACATTTGAGAAAAGACGACGTCGATGGGGCTGCCAGACGGCTTTCGAAAACCCACTCGTCTTGGCTTTCTGACAGAGGCCCCGCTCGTCGCCGATCGCGTTCACATCGTCCGGCAGGCATTGGAATTCGCGCAGCTGGAAAAGTTGTCTGTCGCGTGCGCTTGTGTTGTAGACACAATTTTTTGCTAATTGAATGACCCTTGCAAATTAACCATAATCAATATTAGCAGCGGGAACCCCTTTTTGGTTTATGCCAAGAAAATTCCAAAATTTCTAAAACCCCGAAAAATTTGCTGTTTTGGGCAATTTTTCATATATTTCTAACCGAAAACTCAAAAAATTTTTTGATTGTTATCGGAAATTTTTTGATAATTTTTGATGAGCTTTTTATATCTGACAACTATGTAAAATACTATAAAATTGGCAGGAAATTGTAAGTGTCAGATGGTGATGCTTGTAAGATTTGAAGCTCAAAGCCCCTGCCTCATCCCTGCCGCCATCGGGGTCCGGTTGGCTGTCGGTGCACCATGCGCCGCTCTGCACGCATCCACCGCTCAATACTAAAGCTAACTATTTTGATGGCGTATCGTAGGACAATTATTTGAATGGCAAACCGCTCACCAGGGCTGCAACGGGGAAGACCACTGGTTGGCCAGACGCCCATCAACGAATAGAAGGCGGCCGGCTCACACGTCGGGAAGCTCTCCGGCGTCCGCGCACATTTGACGTGCGTCTCAAGAGGACAGGCTGCAAGTGGGATAGATTTCATTTTCCAGAAACACTTCGCGGTACTGGACTGCTTGCGGGGGGATTTTAGCTGGAGGGGGAGGTGAAGAGACGATTTTTCTCAATGGGTCGTACGGGACCACTCGGAAATATTTAGGTTTCCCTATGCTAAAATTTTGTCGCAATGCTGGATTTTTTTCGACAAATTTAAAATTTAGATTTTCGAGTTTACAAATTTAAATTTTTTTTGTAAGTTTGTAGCAATCAAAAACGCTATAAAAAGATTATCTTGGCAAAAAGCTATAGGTGGAACGGCAAAAAAGGGTTCCCCTCGCGACAACTCCCCCCCCCCGCTAACAGTCCAGAGCCAGGAGTGCAGCGAAGCATCTTCCGGCCAAACCCTCACTGGTTAGGCAAATCCATGCGGCTTCCGCGTCGGCCGGCAGATATTCGCTGCGATTCTGGCAGGTTGGAACCTGGTCGAGGCGGCAATACGTTTGGGTCACCGGATCGCAGGTACCTGAAGATAAAAATGGGGGAGTTGTAAGACAAACAATCGGCTCTTTCTTATGAAGATACTGCCCATTAAGTTGCTAACCATTTCTATTATACTAAACACTTTTGGCCAGCTCCCCCCGATGATGCCAAATACTTATTTATTGGATCTAATTTATTTATTGTATCTTGCATGTACAACATTTTGTAAAGTCTAGATTTTTTTATAAATTACGGATGCGTTTCTAAATTGTTTTTAACTATTCCAGACCATAAAAACTACACACATAACTCCGAATAACAAATCGCAAAAACTTGCCCCAAACGTCGTCCAAGCACAGCGGATAATCCCTCAGAAACCGCATCGGGTCGACTGCAATTCATCGAGCTATGTGGAACGGCACAACGAGGCCCTACTTCTGTAGTATTTCCGCGACATGCAGGTGGGCATATCGCCCCGGTGGCACAGGACTTCGTCTGTGGAACAGATGAATTTTGCAGATTCTGCAAAAACGATCGATTGCAGGGTTGGATACCAGAGACCGGTTGGATCCTCCTTTCCAAGAGCTTGCGATAGAGATTTAATCGTCGAAATTGAGGAGGGAGGAGCAAAACGAACCTGGTTTCTGCTTCTTGCAGAATTTGTACCGCTGCGCGTACTCCTTGACCATGGCGTCCTCCGTGATGAGCATGTATTCATTGTTACGGCGGCATGCGGGGCCTTCGGCTCGCACGACGTCGTTCCAGAAGTTGAAATCCGGGCTAAATACGGGTTTTAAGTTCCTTCGCGTATATCAGTTATTATTCAGTTTATCAAGCGAGAGAAAGAGAGAGAGAGAAAGAGAGAGAGAGAGAGAGAGAGAGAGAGAGAGAGAGAGAGAGAGAGAGAGAGAGAGAAGGTACAGAGCGAATAAATTCTCGTAGTTGATACCCGGACCGCATCTCCTCGAAGTCGTCCGGCAACAGGATGCACTCGTGCTCGTCGGCGTGACACTCAACGTGGTCCCACTCGTGCAGTTGCCCGGCGAGGGCCCGGTGGCTGAGCATCAGCAACAGGAGCACGAAGATCGAGACCGAGGTCAACATCAGCTGATGTAACCCTGGAAACACGGATATCTTTTGAATGCCACATTTGCATCTCAACCCCGCATAAAAGTTCAGAAACCCACCGTTCATTCTCAACTGGAGAAGCCGGCCTGGAAGGCGTCCAGTGGGAAATGATAATTTTTCCAGCCGAGAAAGAATTTCCTGGATATCGTCGTGCTTCCGGATTCATTATTGCATGGAAATTTATGGTAATTACACGGTCATTTACGCTTACGATGCTGCTGCCCCGTACGATACGCTTATGCTTAGCGTTAGGCTTCGGCTTAGGCTTAGGCTAAAACTTCGGCTTAAGCTTGTGAAAATTACATCAGTATGTCCATTTGGAGCCGATTTTCAGGTTGTTGATGATCAGAATCGAAGCTTGTTAACTAATTTTTCACTCGGCGTCGTTGAAGAAATTCAGAACTCCGACGTCATCTGGCTTAATTTTTCAACAATTTAGGATTTACAGATAAAATTTAAAATATGTACACGATATAGCTCACAAACGAATTTATTCAGCGACAACAAATGACAACGAAAGCAGTGTCCATCCTTGAATAGATGCCATTTTTTGATGTTTATTCTCTGCATGTTGCGCTCGATTCTGTGGATGCTCTGGCTCGTCTAGGCCATCGGGTTGAGCGTGTAGAGGAGGGAGAGGATGAGCACGACGACGTGGCTGGAATTTGGAAAGTTCGGGATTTGGGAATAGAGCCTCTACCTGAATGGAAAGACCGCCGAAGAAGCGTTGCCACCTGGAAATTGGCGGGAATTATTTGGAAAACCGATAGTTCTTCGAAAGTCTAAACTTTAAAAATCAAAGATGCAAAAAGTCGACTTCCAAATATCGCTACTTCGTAAATCGTAGCTTTCAAAAATTTAGTACACGGAAAACCGCGACTTCGTCGTCAAAACTTAGGCAATCGTAGCTTAAAAGCAGGTCCAAAAAGTCAGGGCTTTGAAAAAACGCAAATTTGATATTTCGTGGTTTACAAGCGCCCTTCGCACATCCCTTATTCGGATCAACAGTAGAAAGAAAAGTTTCACAAAAATGATCAAAAACATTCCAAAAATTGAAACAATTTTCAAAACTTGTTTGTAGAATTTTCACTAAAAAAATGTCGTTACAATTCCAAGTAATAATTTTTCTCATTAATGCAACAAAGGCTTTTCGACATTAATACCGACAATCAACCCGACTTACCCAGTGCAACGCAGAGGACGTCGGTGTCGCTGATGAGCGGGTCCCGTCCGGTGGCGTAGGCGAATTCGTCGGCGGAACGACATCCGGGTGGGGCGTCAGGAAAGCCCTGGATGCGGTGGCAGGTCAACTCTCCCAGCGAGGGGCACCCTAAAATGTGGGGTAGACCGAGGGATTGGTGTCCTGAAGTTGGCACTAGCACTCACTCCCTCATTCACACTCGCTATCTCTCTCTATCTCTATCTCTCTCAGACACCCTATTCTCTCTCCCCTACTTTCACTCTCACTTTTACTCTCTCTCTCTCTCTCTCTCTCTCTCTCTCTCTCTGTCTCTTGTTACTACCGCTACAAAACCACCTACTTCGACGGCAAATCCTCGGCCTCAGCTGGTCGAGGTCGGTGGTGGGCAGCTGCATGAACTCCCAGGCCGCGTAGCAACCCTCGTGGCGTTTCTCCGGACCGGTGACGTTACCTCCGGCCTCCTCATTCGACAGGGATTTTCCTGCAATAACAGTCCATTATTCAGAAAGATGCAAAAACCAGCTTTACCATTGGCATCCTTGGGTGTGTTGGGCAAGGGGGTAGATTCGGCCATCAGCTTCAGCTTGTCTAAACGAATAAAATTTTGCAAAAAAAACCCCGGAAAAATTACCTTCCAGCCAGGGCTCCTCGATGAACTCGTGGCAGGGAACGGTGTTGGGCTCGCAATCTGGAAACAACCAGATTTACAAAAACGCTGGCTTAAGTTTTGAACAAACTTAGGCTTCAGCTGCGGCTCAGGTTTGGGCTTGGGCTTCGTTTTAGGCTTAGGCCTCGGTTTATGCAAAGGCTTAGGCTTGGGCCCATTGTTAGGCCTAGGCTTAGGTTCAGGCAAGCTTAAGCTTAGGCTTAGGCTTGGTCCCGGGCCTAAGCTTGAGCTTGCGCTTAGGGTAGGCTTAAGCTTAGGCCTGGGCTTTGGGTAGGCTCAGGGATAGGTTTAGACTTAAGCTTAGGCTTAACCTAACCATGATTTTTTAGGCTTCGGGGCACTTACAGCGACAGAAATCCGCTTCACCCGGTTGTGCAAAGTATTTGTCGATCTTGATTGAGCGGTTCGGGAAGAAGCGACGCCAAGCGTCGTCTCCGGTCAGTGGGAAGTGGCGGCCTTGTGGCGCAAGCTAGGTGCATGGAGGGTCCCCATGGCTGTCCCTGCCAGGCGAGCACCGTTCGTATTGCGGGTTCGTTCGAGGCGCGAATTGGCAGTAGTCGGTCGGGTCTGAAACAAGGAGTTCTGGTTCGTTCAGGGATACAATGGTTCCCGTGTAAGAATAAAGGTTCTGGACTTTTGCGGGGGCGGGGGTTTAGTATGGCGGGAAATAAATTACCGTTGATAATACATTGGGAAGACTTTACTCCACCCCACACAGCCGACAGGTCTCAAAGTTTCGGTCTTGTCGTTTATTTTGTCGAGCTCTTTGCAACACCATTCGATAGAGCGTGGAAAAAGGTGTCAAAGTTTTTATTTGCGGCCACAAAAAGGAAGAAAAATAAAAGGTGCCTAAAGGTTTTATTTGGCGCAATTGTTTAAAAATAGTGTCTTGTGTGTGCCACTTTGCATCCACTTCCGTATCGTTGTTCCAGTGATATCTCAAGAAGGGTAGAAATCTAAGGGGCGTATGATACGTCGTTAGGTGGGTAATGGTCTTGAGATGAATGCCCACATATCCTATCTTTTAATATCATCCATTTTCGATATTAAATTTCAGTTTTTCTGAAACCTTCTTTGTTAGGAAATAATTAGCATAGACCGGAAGTAGGGAGTTGACTATATGAAGGGGCAGAAGAGGTCGTTTTTCATTTTTTGTCGTATCAACTCAGGAAAATTATGCAAAGAAAAACCAAAAGACCTTTCAAATCAAAGAAAAAAAAAAAAATTTGAGATTTTTATCAATGCAACATCCAGATAATATTCATCAAAAAACAAAAAAAAAATTGTTCGAATAATAAGATATAGTAATTATATTAACACACAAATAAAATTATTTAAAATTATTAATACATTTACTAAAACTCCCACCACATTAAATTTCAACCAAAACTTTTTATTTTTCAAGCATAATTCGGAATAAGGAAATTGAGGGCTTCAGTAGGCACAATTTAAAAAATGATAAAAATCAAATCTTTCAAACTATTTTCACGAAAGACGTCCCGATTCCTCCAACTTTTTGCTTCCGCAGCAACATGTCAAATCTGGGTTGGCCGGCGCATACGATAAATTCACATACGATACGAATGCAAAGCGAAGGATAACACAAGGACAAGACGGGACCAGGGTTGAAAGGTCGCGAAGCGGTTTCGGTACACATCAAAAGGGGAGACGGGGGGGGAAGTGGACCTATAGGCAGAGGGGGTGAACGGGCTGGGCGCAGAGACGCAGTGTGCCCCCGCCAAAATCCCCGCCTATTGAATTGTACCGAAAGGCCTTCGGGCGCGGTAAGGTGTAAAGTGTCGCCAATATATTGAATTTTCATAGCATTTTTACTAGCTTTTGATTGCTAGACGGTTATAAGAACATGTTTTTAAATATTGTAAATACGAACAATTTGAGCTATTTTTGGTGATTTCTCAGATATTTTTGAGCAAAAGGTCAAAATTTCCGGAATTTTTTACGAAACTGCGCCTACCGTATACAGTGATGGTGATGCGGTTGGAGAGTGCGGACCAGGTTTTGAGCACGCGCCGTTTCCCGTCGGCATCACCCATCTCGGCCCACGTCTCCCAACGGCACGTGAACGTCGTCGAGTCACGCTGTAAAAGCGGAGAAGTCGCTTTTATCTGTTAAAAAATGCCCGATTACAGAGCTGTTTCAGTAAGCGGCTGAAAAGTCCAAAAGGTTCTTTCGCATTAGGGGGGGGAAGAAATTCTTTCCAAATCTTCCTTCCGAATCCAAGCAAATCCAAGCCGAACCGGATCATTGGGTAAAATTGCCCCCCCCGCTAATAGTCCATTACCGAAGGGCGACCAACCACTCTCAAGGCGCTGAACGACAGCTGAATCAGTTCGTTGGGGTCGAACTTGACCCGATCGGTGGTGAGCGGCCTCCCGTCGGTACCCTAAACAACGAAAATCAGGTGAAGCCCATGAAGCCCCTACCAGGTATTCCGTTCTGACGCCGTCCCGGAAAAACACCGGACGCACCAGGTCGCTGGCTGTGGTTCCGGGCAGCTGGCAACTGAAAACGCTCGGTACACATAGGGTCACGGTGGGAGGGATAAAATAACTTGGGGGGGGGGGGCACCTTTCCTACTATGTATCAAAACTAGTGTCGATGCGTGTGCATTTGCAAGCAACTTCCGTGGGGTTGTCGCACACCTAGGTTTTCCATAATCTCGTGCGACTCGACTAATTTAAAACTTACCGTTTTCCTAGACTTTTACGCCGTTGCAGGTGGTTCTGGACTGTTAGCGGGGGAAGAAACATTCGGAACCGGGAAGCACCAAAAAATGTTTGAGTAAGTTTTTTATTAAATAAAGAAAAATTGATCAAAACCAAAGAATATAAAATCGAAAAATGTAAATGGTTGGTATTGGGTTACAAGACCGTACAGTATTACCGGGAAAAATTATTTTCTCCTGCTTACCCCCCCCGCTGATAGTCCAGAACCCACTTACCTAATATAAAGCGGTTGGCCGGCAATGTAAACTGCGTTGTCGTCCAAAGGCTTTGTCTCGGTGCTCTCATATGTCCTGACCGCTCCTTTGCGATTCGTCATGGAGAGAAACGCTTAAATTTAGCGTGAGTGACGCAATAAGTGTATACAGGTGGTCCCAAAAACTCTACTTCTTCTTTTCTTTTTTTACCAAAAAATAAATTCTCAAATTTTTCATACCTTTGCTAAGATTTTTGGGCAATCACCGAATTTTTATTGCTTAGTTAATTAAAATTAAATTCTATTAAATTAATTAAAAATTATTAAATATAATTAAAAAAATTACAAACAAAGCGGTTTAAAACTGAATTTTTCAAATTGTTGCGACCTGACTGGCAGCCCGGAGAGCAACTTTTTGAGCAAAAATTTGCGTAAAAGGCTATGAAAATCGAGTGCAAAATTCGGAAATTTGGAAAATCGAATCGAAAAGACAAAAGATCTCCTCATCTCCACGAGATCTTCCGATTGATACGTAAATCGTAAAAATCGGACACGACCAGGGACCGCGAGCGGGGTCTTTTTTGGGACACCCTCTCGAAGTTCGAGGCAAATAAATCGGAATGTCGGCTGCCAGACGGCTACCCGAAAACCCACTCGTCTTGGCTTTCTGACAGAGGCCCCGCTCGTCGCCGATCGCGTTCACATCGTCCGGCAGGCATTGGAATTCGCGCAGCTGGAAAAGATGCATTTCGCCTGCCCTTGCGTTGTATGCAGAATTTGTTGCTGTGTGAAACACCCTTGCAAATTATCCATAATCAATATGAGCAGCGGGAGCTCCATTTTGGTAAATTTTATTTTATGCCAGAAAATTCAAAAAGTTCTAAACCCGCAAAAATTTGACGTTTTGGGGCAATTTTTCGCATATTTTTGACCGAACTCAAAAATTTTTTTTGATTGTTTTCGGAAATTTTTTGATAATTTTTGATCAGCTTTTCATATCTGATAACTATGTAAAATACTATAAAATTGGCAGGAAATTGTAAGCGCCAGATTGTGATGCTTGCAAGATTTGAAGCTCAAAACCCCTGCCTCATCCCTGCCGCCATCGGGGTCCGGTTGGCTGTCGGTGCACCATGCGCCGCTCTGCACGCATCCACCGCTCAATACTAAATCTAATCATTTTGATGACGTATCGCAAGGCAGTTATTTCAATGGCAAACTGCTCACCAGGGCTGCAACGGGGATGACCACTGGCTGGCCAGACGCCCATCAACGAATAGACGGTGGCCGGCTCGCAGGTGGGGAAACTCTCCGACGTCCGCGCACATTTGACATGAGTGGTGGGACAGGCTGAATGTCAACAAATTAGGTATTTTAAGACTAGTTTAAATTTTTTCGCATTTTTCGAATTCAAATTTTGATGCTTTAAGTAAAGATAACCCTTACTAAAAACAATCTAAAACACTTTATATTTGGCTACTAGGCCGGCCGGGATCACCGGGGCGAAGGTGAAGGAGAAAACCGTGCTTTTCGTACGTAAATATTCAAGACTTCGAAATTTTTCAAGTATCTTTGGTATTTTTTTTGCAAAAAGTATTTCTGCAAAGTTTTCTAAGTAAAAGTGAGTTTTTCTATACTTACCCTACTCATCTTTGTCGGTATGTTTCTCGACTGGCAAAAAAGACGGTGAAGACAGCCCAGCTTTTTAAGCCTTTTTAAGCCAGGCGCCAAAAGTTTAAGAAGTTCAAAGAAGTTACGAAGTTCAAAAAAAGAATTTTTTAACTTTCAAGCATTGTAAAATTGTAAAAAAAAAACAGAAAAAATCATAGGTTATCAATAGGTAGTTAGGTATAGGCGAATACAGTGTGTGTAAAAAGATAGGGACACCTTCCTTTTTGCGATTATCTCGACCCTGATCGATTTAGAGCAGAAGTCAAATAGTGGGTCTTGTAGAGCTTGAAACGGCGCATTTTTTCATGTATTTGAAATATCGCTAAAATAAATAACGCCATTTTTATAAGCGAGAGAAGAAAACAGGGCAAAAAAACAGAAGTGTCAAAAAGATAGGGACACACTTTACATACAATTACCATCAACTTCGCGCTTGCAAATTACATGCTAATTGGTGATACGAAGTTTTTGGCAATGCAGATTCACGATTACTCCGAAAACCCGGAAGTCAGAAATAGCGATGACTTTGGAATCCCCATTAGCATGTAATTTGCAAGCGCGAAGTTGATGGTAATTATATGTAAAGTGTGTCCCTATCTTTTTGACACTTCTGTTTTTTGCCCTGTTTTCTTCTCTCGCTTATAAAAATGGCGTTATTTATTTTAGCGATATTTCAAATACATGAAAAAATGCGCCGTTTCAAGCTCTACAAGACCCACTATTTGACTTCTGCTCTAAATCGATAAGGGTCGAGATAATCGCAAAAAAGAAGGTGTCCCTATCTTTTTGGCACACACTGTAAACTCAAAATGGTACCCCTCCTCTGCTAAAAATTGCCCCCCCATCCGCTAGCTGGTCGGAACCGGAACGTGCTTTCGGTGTAACAACAAAGCAAGTGGTAAAAAGGATAAATTAGACACAGGAGAAAAAACCTCACTGGAGAAGCACTCGAAGTCGCTGGTCGCGTCCGTTGGTAGGTACTCGCTTCGATTCTGGCAGGTTGGAACGTTGTCGATGCGGCAGTACACTTGAGTCGCCGGATCGCAGGTGTCTGTAAAGAGTACAAGGTAGTACTACACCGTTAAGAGGAATCTTTAATAGAGAGCAAATCAAATTTTTTACATGTCAAGATTTTGCAAGGTTTTTATAACTTTCTAGCAATCAAATTGATTATTTTCAACGGCTTAATCCAGGCCTCACTCAAAAGAAACAGCGAAAATAAGTCCCTCCTCACCCCGATAAGGCAAAAGATCCAAACCAAAACTCACCCCGCACATCATCCAAGCACAGCGGGACGTCCCCCTCAGTTCGAGTCGGGTCAACTGTAAAACGAAATGGCATGGAATGGTCGGTGCTGTACTGTTAGCGGTGGGGGGCATGCGGCATAGCAAAATGTGATTTGGTCATGATTTATTGCAAAAGCCCTACTCCTGTAATATTTCCGCGGCATACAAGCGCCGCCCTCTCCGGAGTTGCAGTAGATGTCTTCAGGGTTGCGGCATATTTGTTTAGCCCAAAGTCCTAAAAATACGCATAAGATAAAAATACATCTGAAGATGCCGACCCTGACTATGCTTTCGGCAGAACTTGTACCGCCCCGAGTACTCTTGGGCCCAGGTTGACTGGGTCACAAGCATGTACTCGTTGTGCGAGCGGCACGCGGGCCCTTCGGCGCGCACCACGTCCTTCCACAGGTCGAAATTCGGGCTGAAGATGGGGTTGGAAACCGGCAAGGTGGCGGCAGAGTCGGGGATAACGCAGGTTGGGGCTTTTTGATCGAGTGAAAGCGAGGGAGAGAGCGAGCGAGAGAGAGAGTGAGAGAGAGAGCGCGCGAGGAAAACACGGAGCTTGGCTTAGCTTTCTAAGCTTATACCGGGCTTCCATCTCGTCGAAGTCGTCCGGCAACAGAATGCACTCGTGCTC